TTTTTGGCGAAACACTATCCATCACCTCTCGCAATCGTCATTAGTCAGTATAGCTCCGATTCTAATTCGAAAAGAGAAGCAAAGAGATTCAAATTTCATAATGTACAGGCGAAAAAATAGACCTCAAAAATATAAAGGTGAATGGGAAATTAATTATGATTTTAAAGGATGGTTAAAACCTGTCAGAGGTAATATATATATATATATATACAGTGGAGGTAAAAGCGTAATTATCCATGGCAATTTCATGTGTAGGACAAGGATACATCGATTTAAGACAGAAATGGAAGTATAAAGATCGGTTGATTGGCGATACTATAACGGAGTGGGGGTGCACCAACGGAATGAGGTGTTTATTGAGATGTAGGGCCTACCTTGTAGTTGTCTAAGACGACCGCTAGTATTTGAGAAGATAAAAGCTGTTTATTATTTATTTCAAAATGTACATTTATACCACAAATGAAAGGACTCAACTTATAATATGGTTTTTAACACAGGTTGTGGACGAAGCGCTTGGGCGTTTTGCTTTCACATTTTCAAATCGCTCAATCCCTACGAAACAAACTATAAGAAATATTTTTAATCGTTTTAAAAATTCTGGGTGTGCTTCAAACTGCAGTAGTTTTCATAAGGAAAATCATACGCCTAATAAAATATCGCAGGAAAGACTGGCACGGGAAATAAATATCTGCTCCCTTATCGAAATTAACGAACCTTGTCCAGCTACAAAAATTGCGAAAGAGCCAGAAGCCAGAACAGTGAGAAATATTTTAAAACGCAATAAGTATAAAAGTTTTAAGCTAAAGACCACCCAGGAGATATTTCCCGAAGACCAAGAAAGGAGGATACAATTCTGTGAAATAATAAGACACAAAAATGACCACGATGAGAATTTTATCAGAAATATCGTTTTTTCGGACGAGTCTTCTTTTGCACTACACGGAACACATAACTCGGAAAATACTCGATATTGGTCTCGGAAAAATCAGCATCTGTCACTGCCTGTAAGGACCCAGTACCCCCAAAAACTAAACGTTTGGGCTGGCATTTTTCAAAATTCAATTATTGGCCCTTTCTTTATTGATGGAAATTTAAATGCCGATAAATATTTAAATATGTTAGAAAATGAAATTGTTCCTGCCATTCGTGATGTGTCTCCAAACTTTGAGAATATTTGGTATCAACAGGATGGTTGTCCAGCTCGTAATGCAAGACGAGTTGCGTGCAAAAATTGTTACTGCGGTGGAAAATATAACCCCTGAAATGATAGGCAATGTACAAAAAGAATTATACTTTCGAATAGGCCATTGCGAAATTCAAAACGGAGGCCTTTTCCAACATTTACGCAATGAAAAATTATTATTTATTGAAAATATATATATTTTATTTTTTAAATATTTGTTATTTTACATATTCTATTTTTGTTTGAGTTTATTGTTTTTTAAATTTATTCTGTAGTTTAAATAAAATATTTTTATATGCCACTTTTTAGTTTTATTTTACTACTTGAATTAATTTAAAGCTTGATAATATATGGAACAAAAAGAATTAATTAATTTAATTTTTTTAAAAATGTTAATTATTTATTAAAAATAGGTAGGTATATTTCACTTTTAAAATTTTTTATATTTTTTATATTTTATTTTAGTTTTTAGATAAAATATTGCTTTTTAAAATTTATTTTTAGTAATTAAAATATTTTTATGTCACTTTTTAGTTTTATTTTTTTACCACTTATAATGAATTAATTTAAAACCTATTAATACAAAAAAACAAAAAAAAATAGTTAATATAAATTTTTAAAAAATGTTAAAAGTTGTTTAAATAAATGAAAGAGGGGTTACGTAATTAATAGTTATTATTTATTAAAATAGGTACCTATATTTGATATTTTTTATATTATATTTTTATTTTAGTTTTTTAGATAAAATATTTTTTATATGCAACTTTTAAGTTTTTTTACCAATTTTATCTAATTAATTTAAAGAAATACATACTTAAAATTTAATAATACAAGAAACAAGAATTTTTGTCTACGGAATTCCCCACTATCTTTTTACTCTCTCACACTTATGGGCTATGGATAATTACGATAAATATGAGGGACAAATATTGATTATTATTTTAAATATTTATACATAAATTAATATATCGTTACGTTTAAGGCTTAGTTAAGTGAAATTTTTATAAAAATTTCATTTTAATAGTTGTTTCTGTTGTTTCAGACGAGCCACGACAATTGTGAATTGAATAGTGGTGTTAATTTAAAAACTATTACTTACGACCCCGATTTACAGTTCGCCCAGTCAATTATGCATCAAGAAACAACCGGGAGTTACGACCCCGAAAGGATGGTGATGTGCCCATACGATAGCAATCACAGAGTCTTGGCGAAGAGGTTGCCTTATCATAAAATAAGGTGTCTCAAAAACAACCCACAGGCCAAGAGCAAATCAATTACATCTTCTATTAAGGAGGAACACCAGGCATATAAAGCCACAATAATAGGACCACCCGTAATAGACAATTTTTCATGGGGGAACGAAAAAGAGGAATGGGAGCTGCAGGATGGCAGTTATCTAGACTGTCTCCCTCCAATAAGATCCATACCTCCACGAGCCAAGAAGAGTCGTGTAAGGTGCCTTAAAAATAACCCACAGGCTAAGACCAAACCAGCTACATCTCCTATTAAGGAGGAAAATCAGGCATATGAACTTACAATAATACGACCACCTGAAATAGACGGTTTCTCATGGGGAAACGAAGAAGAGGAATGGGAGCTGCAGGATGGTAGCTATCTAGACTATCTTTCTCTAATAAGATCCATACCTCCACGAGCCAAGAGCAAATCAGCTACATCTTCTATTAAGAAGGAAAATCAGGCATATGAAGTTACAAGAATACGACCACCTGTAATAGACGGTTTCCCATGGGGAAACGAAGAAGAGGAATGGGAGTTGCAGGATGGCAGCTATCTAGACTATCTGCCTCCAATAAGATCCATATCAAGACACGATGATGATAACAGTTAAGTGCGTAGTGCGCGCTCGATATATTGCATGTTGTATATATGTTATTTAATATTATAAGGATTTATTTAGCGTTCGGTATTCATGTTTAATTAATTATTAATAATTATTTAGTTATTATATTTCTACATTGTCGTGTTGTAATCATGAGCATATTATTATAATTTAAATTTATTTTACGTTTACAATGTTATTATAGCGATGACGATGACGACGATAATTGTGTTCAATATATTGTATATTGTATAAAAGTGAGTTAATATTATTAGGATTTAGGTTTCGTTTTCCATTATAGTAAATGTTAATGTTTGATATGTATTTTGTAAATTTAATCATAAGATTATTGTTATCACTTAATAAAGAATGAAATAACAAAACAGAGGAAATTTCGTATTACTAAAATTAAAATTAATTTAAAATATTATTAGAGAGGCATCCTTGGTAGCCTTAAGCTTCCAAGGATGGAACGTGGGCGGTGGGTCCTCTCTTTTGGTTACGACAATAAATGCTGGTAGATCACATTTAGATAATCTAAAGTGACGTACCCCCCTCCACGAGGGCTACCGGTGGGCAACGACATCTTGAGCTGTAAAACCGTTTTCGGTTTAATCGTGTATTAAAATGCACGTGTAAGTCTCTAGATACGGCTGAGGGGTACATTTGACGGTGTTAGCTTTCTCCGTTATTAAAAAATAAAGGTGTTATTATTCACGATCGATTTAGACGGTGTAGCGGCTTTGATTTATCAAAGCTCACTTTGCCTCCCGCAACCAGTTTTGCATGTAAGATCTAGCTGGTCTAGTGTTGCAAGGCAAGCCAGGGGACGTCCATTTCGTTGGTGGCACCTTTTTTTTTAAGAAAAATTATAAACGACCCGCACCTAATAACATTATACAATAAACTTATTTGCTACCGTACCTCAATTCTTTTGCTAATCGTTTGTGGGTGGCAATAAATATGAGCGACAAATATTGATTAATATTTTATTTATAATTTATACATAAATTAAAATAGCGTTAGGTTTAACGCTTAGTTAAGTGGAATTTTTATAAAAATTTCATTTTAATAGTTGTTTCTGTTGTTTCAGACGAGTCACGACAATTGTGAAGTAATAAAAAACGGACAGTAGTATCGGCAAGAACAATTGCAGCTGAAAAGTTTAATAGTAAACATTTCAAAATTAAATAGTGAACATTGTAAAATTAAACAGTGGTGTTAATTACAAAACTATATTCGATATGCCGAAGAAAGGAAAGCCGTCGGTGTTGAGCGAAAAATCTGCTTTTTATAAACGAAAATTACGAAAACGTCGTAGTCAATCGCAAAGGGAATTGTTGTCGCAAACAAGAACTACGGTTGTTGCATCTGGTGCGGTGCCACGACGTGAACTTTACATTCCGTTGTTGCGTGAAGTATTAACGGAGACAAAAGCACCTGTTAGATTATCGTCTTTGTCGTTTGGACCTTGCCGTGGTGAATCGTTGGTGCGGGTGCCAAATGTTGATAAAGACAATGATAATAATGACAATGGTATTCAAGTGGGCGCTATCGTGCCGTTATTAAGAGGTAATAGTTTGGATGAAGACGAGCAAATATTAGAAAGAACACCTGTCGTCGAGGAGGAACCGTTAAGGCCTCCTGTTCCTGCTATTGCGGTACCTCGCAGAAGGCATGCAGTCGTGCCGCATAAAGTGACCTAACGAGGCGTATCGTTTAAATAATGTCGCAGAGACGTTATCGAAATACGATGTAGGACAGTTAAATCAAGAATGTCAATTTTGTGGGGCATTGCATTACGAAAAAGAAAAGGTCGATCGACAAGGACATCGCAGATTGTGTTGTAATAAGGGAGAAATTGTTCCGCCCGCGTTGAAGTCGTGTCCTCCTTTGTTGCGTGCTTACTTGACTAATGACAATCCCGAAGCACGTTCATTTAGATCCAACATACGATCTATAAACAGTTTGTTTGCCATGGCGTCGTTTAAAACGAGCGTTCCTCAAGAAAGGCAATACGAACAAGGACATTGGACTTTTAGTGTTTGCGGTCAAATTTATCATTACACCGAAGCGATACCGTTAAATCAAGAAAGACGTCAACCAATTATGAATCAATACTATTTTGTGGACGCCGACGAGGCGATCGATCGAAGAGCAAATTTTTTAGCAGATCGCTTGGTATCTAGAGAAATAATCGAACGAATTGAACTGATGTTACGAGACGTGAATCCGTTTGTACGTTCGTATCAAACAATGAGAGAAGTTATTGATGAACGAAGGGCGCAGGGACAGGACATCGACGACATGATAGTGGCTTTCGTCGATAATAACCGTCGAGATTTAAGACAATACAATTTGCCGGAAAGTAGAAGCGATATAGCAGCCGTATTTGTTGGCGATGAACCACCTTTTAATGTCGATTTAAAAATTTATCCTAAAAATGTGAATGCCGACAGAGAATTAAAAAATTTAAATAGAATGTCAGATCCGATGGTGTATCCGATTTTGTTTTCTAAAGGCGAATACGGTTATGATACGGCGCTGCATTATAGAACAAGACGGAATAAAACCGTAACTATAAGAGAATTTTATCGGTATCGGATGCAATTAAGACGAAATCAATTTTCCATTCTTCATCACGCCGATAAGTTGTTTCAGCAATATTTGGTAGATGCGTGGTGCCGTGCCGAGGCGAACATCTTATGGTGGTACCGAAATAATCAACAACAATTGAGAGTTGCTGGAAAATAAGCGATAGAAAGAATGTTGGAGGCCAGAGCGGCCAACGAAAATTTACGAGTGGGCAACGTCATCATGTTGCCGTCGAATTTTATCGGTGGTCCTCGCTTTCAGTCTAGAAAATATTTAGATGCCATGACGGTCGTGTCCCGGATCTGTTCATTACGATGACTTGTAACCCGCATTGGCCAGAAATAACGAAAAATTTGGAGCATCGGCAGCAATGGCAGCATCGTCCCGATCTAGTGGCGAGAGTGTTTAATTGCAAATTGAATGAACTAATGGACGATATTAATAACAAGCAAATTTACGGTGTCGTTTCGTATTCCATGTATGTAATCGAATTTCAAAAGCAAGGTTTGCCTCACGCTCACATACTGGTCACCTTAAGACCGGAAGATAAATTAGATACTGAGGAAAAAATCGACATGCTTATTTGTGCGTATTTTCCTGATCCCGCCACTGAACCGAATCTTTTCGCTATGATTGCAGCCAATTACGTGCATCGTCCGTGCGGCCGTCTTAATATAAACGCGACTTGCATGAAGGATGGAAAGTGTAGTAAGGGCTATCCGAAGCAATATCGAGAACATACGGTGTTGTTAGAAGATCACTTAGGTCAACCGGCTTCCCGTGCGGGGTTTGTGTGTCCCCCATCGGGCGCTTCTCCGGGTGACGGATAGGAGAATGCCTCCCAGATATGGGTGGTACCGGCGAAATCAAATAGTCGGAGCGGACCAAAACACACACAAAAGTCCGGAAGCGTCTGACACGTAACGTGCGGCTCCCCGGCCAGCGTCTGTTCCCCAGAGGGGCGGCTGAGCAAACACCTGGCCGTAGGTATAAAAGGCAATGGAAGGACACCATTCAAAAAACCAGTCATGTCGGTCGGTAAAGAAACTTTTCCCCAGGTGGGTCCGGTCGAAGACACACTAATGTGGTCTGCCCCTCGGAATACGGGGGGGGCAAAACCCCGTCATTGATGGAGGCACCTGGCACGAGCAGAGGCGACACATCTAGGCCTGGCAAGCCTGATATGGACGTAAGCAAGGACGATGGGCTAACTACCGAGGAGCTTTTGCTCATGAAACAGCACGAGGTCAACCGAACGAACTTGGAAAGGACCCCTCCGTCCAAGAACATGGACGTCTCGGCGTCCAGCTGGGACGAAACCATAGAAGTGGGCTCATCCCCAGAGATGACCAACAAAAAAAAGGAAGAACGACGTGCACGTAAGTGAACTTGAAGAGGCAGTCAAGAAGGTCGATAACCTTAAAGGCGTCGTTATTACAACCGTGGAGCAAAAGCCGACCAAGAAGCGGAAAGCAATAAACCTGACCACCGAATACGAGAGACTTGAGGCCATCAAGGCCGACTTGCGGGAGGGGAACAGAAAACTTACACAGCAGAAAGAGGAGCTTAGCAGAGAAGCAAAAAAACTGGAAATAGTCAAGGAACTGAGACAGGCCCTGGACAAGGAGAGGGAAGAAATGAGGAAGGAGGCGGAAGCGCTGAAAAAGGAGGCTGAGACTCTCAGTCTCCAAATTAAAACCATGGAGACCCTCAAGCAGGCTAACCGGACTTTGGAGGAGGAGGCAGCGGCACCCATAAGTTACGCGCAGGCGGCTAGGGAAGCAACGGCTCCAGGCGGCGAGGACATATTCCGCAAGGACTGGGGCAGGATTGCAGCTGCAGCAAGTGCGTTGAAGGACTCGGACGACGCAGCGACGGGGGCGCTATGCAAAGCCATAATCTCAGCCCACGAAGCCGGCATGAACAAGGCAATCGATGGCAGCAGGGTCCGCGACCTATGGTAACGCAGGAACTCCAAATGGAGGGCAGTCGGAGCTATGACCTTTTCAACATGGCGGAGAGTAGAAGATGGTCGACGGAAAGCTTCAAGGACACGGAGTTGTTTCAGACGAGCCACGACAATTGTAAATTGAATAGTGGTGTTAATTTAAAAACTATTACTTACGACCCCGATTTACAGTTCGCCCAGTCAATTATGCATCAAGAAACAACCGGGAGTTATGACCCCGAAAGGATGGTGATGTGCCCATACGATGACAATCACAGAGTCTTGGAGAAGAGGTTGCCTTATCATAAAATAAGGTGTCTCAAAAACAACCCACAGGCCAAGAGCAAATCAATTACATCTTCTATTAAGGAGGAACACGAGGCATATGAAGCCACAATAATAAGACCACCCGTAATAGACAATTTTCCATGGGGGAACGAAAAAGAGGAATGTGAGCTGCAGGATGGCAGTTATCTAGACTGTCTCCCTCCAATAAGATCCATACCTCCACGAGCCAAGAAGAGTCGTGTAAGGTGCCTTAAAAATAACCCACAGGCTAAGACCAAACCAGCTACATCTCCTATTAAGGAGGAAAATCAGGCATATGAACTTACAATAATACGACCACCTGAAATAGACGGTTTCTCATGGGGAAACGAAGAAGAGGAATGCGAGCTGCAGGATGGTAGCTATCTAGACTATCTCTCTCTAATAAGATCCATACCTCCACGAGCCAAGAGCAAATCAGCTACATCTTCTATTAAGAAGGAAAATCAGGCATATGAAGTTACAAGAATACGACCACCTGTAATAGACGGTTTCCCATGGGGAAACGAAGAAGAGGAATGGGAGTTGCAGGATGGCAGCTATCTAGACTATCTCCCTCCAATAAGATCCATATCAAGACACGATGATGATAACAGTTAAGTGCGTAGTGCGCGCTCGATATATTGCATGTTGTATATATGTTATTTAATATTATTAGGATTTATTTAGCGTTCGGTATTCATGTTTAATTAATTATTAATACTTATTTAGATATTATATTTCTACATTGTCGTGTTGTAATCATGAGCATATTATTATAATTTAAATTTATTTTACGTTTACAATGTTATTATAGCGATGACGATGACGACGATAATTGAGTTCAATATATTGTATATTGTATAAAAGTGAGTTAATATTATTAGGATTTAGGTTTCGTTTTCAATTATAGTAAATGTTAATTTATATCTAATGTTTGATATGTATTTTGTAAATTTAATCATAAGAATATTGTTATCACTTAATAAAGAATGAAATAACAAAACAGAGGAAATTTCGTATTACTAAAATTAAAATAAATTTAAAATATTATTAGAGAGGCATCCTTGGTAGCCTTAAGCTTTCAAGGATGGAACGTGGGCGGTGGGTCCTCTCTTTTGGTTACGACAATAAGTGCTGGTAGATCACATTTAGATAATCTAAAGTGACGTACCCCCCTCCACGAGGGCTACCGGTGGGTAACGACATCTTGAGCTGTAAAACCGATTTCAAAACCGATTTCGGTTTAATCGTGTATTAAAATGCACGTGTAAGTCTCTAGATACGGCTGAGAGGTACATGTGACGGTGTTATGACGAGCCTGTATTGCTTAAGGTGGCACAAGTCAATCTCCAGAACTCAAGGGTAGCCACGTCCGAAGCAAAGGTAGTGGCGAAAAGGCTTGGATGGGATATAATGCTGGTGAAAGAGCCGTACACATACTATCATGCCCCCTCAGGCTCACTTAGAGTCGGAGGTTTTTCAAGATCTACCAAGATCCTAGCCGACTACTCACATGATCGATTTTACGCTGCCATCATAGTATTGAACCCAAACATAGACGTCCTACACCTCAGACAATTTTTGTCCCGCCACCTTGTAGCCGCTAATCTTTCCCTCAATGTGTACTGCCATCCCAGAAAGGATATAGAGCATGTCGTAGACGAGCTGAACAGGATAGTGCGAAAGATCGTTGTGGCCGGGGACTTTAATGCCAAGTCCCAATTATGGCACTCCCGCCGAACGGACCAGGGAGGCCAAATACTGGAGACTCTAATACTCGAGCATGACCTGCACGTCCTCAACGTCGCAGGCCAACCATATACATTCCAGACCGTCAACGGTTTCAGCAACATCGATGTATCCCTGGCAACCGGTGGGCTTCTCCGGCGTATAAGCAATTGGGCCGTCCAGCCCAGACTGGTGCAGAGTGATCACAATTTAAAAATATTTAAGGATATTCCAATTAAAATCGTTTTGTTACATTGCGGAACCCAATTCACAACGAATATCTGAAAACAGACCTTAAATGAACATGGCATAACGTTTTTTCTGACATCCGGCCTCTAATCCGACTAAACGCGTTATGAAAGAATTAAGTCGGCTATTTAGTACTTACTGTCAGTAATCTTATTGTCGTTGAGGCAACATACATATAAGATATCGAGATGTATTCAATAATACTCCTCATTTAAGTACAGGGTACTCATCTAACGATATTCTTTTAGTTAATACAACGAGCGGTTTTCAATACAAATTTGTACGTTAGTATAATAAACATTGGTTAGCTACTAGGGTTCGCAATCCCGAAATCCCAAATCCGAAAATACCGGGATCTCGTCTGTTTTTCAATACCGAAAATACCGGGATCACAAATCATGATCCCGGTATTTTTAGTATTTAAATTTATGTTGAACACTTCCCTAAGTGCCAACTTATATGAAGCCCTAAGGGTAAGGATTGCTCAGCGCAGAACTTATTGCTCAGGTATTATCCGCTATTTGCACAATCCCAATTATAAAGAATCAGATGCTCTGTTCGATATTCTATACAAAAAAATATTAGGGAAATGCTTGAAAAACTTACAATGTTTACAAAAAAAACCAAATGTTTCTTTTTAAGAAGACAATGACGAGGATAAAATTTATCTTTCAGCCATGCTACTACTCCAGCCTCAAATTAAAACAAACAATTTTTTAAATCATTGACAAAAAACGCAATGAACCCAATAAAAATGCACCCTCAAACCGATTCGGTAACATCAACTCTAAAAAAAGAAATGTCGCTTTTTGAAAATGGTGGAAGCAGGGATGCATTCCTCAAACTGAAATGTGATTTCTTAATGTGCCCACTAGTGTGGAGTCGGAAAGGGCGTTTTCGGCAGCAGAAACCCCCCAAAATTTAGATCCCGACTTGGGGATAATACCCTTAATAAACTCATTTTTCTGCGGTATTGGTTTAGCCGCTGAACCCCTAGAATCATTTTTTGGTTTAAATTTTCTTTTATTAATAAAATTAATAACCATGCTTTGTATTCTTTTAGTTTTTAATATCAATCTCGAAATCCCGGTATTCCCGGTATTGTTAAATATCGATATCATAATCCCGGGATTATATTTTCTCTTCGAGATTGCGAACCCTATTAGCTACATATTTTGAAGGTTGACCGTAAAAAAATGTGAATATGAACTACTGCAATGTGTATAACCACTAAAATCCCAAGTTTCGCGGTATTTTTGTTCTACATTTGTTATATGTGTTTTTTTGTATATTTGTTATATATGTTGTTTGTAGAGTGTAAAGGTAAGTCGTGCATTTTTATGAATAATATTTAGGGATTTGCTGATTATTTCACATATTTCCAGATGGATAAAAGGAAAATAATACATTTTTTAATGAAACCAAAGGCCTTAATAAACTTAGTCAATAAGTATAAACATAAATTGGAAAACAAACAGAGTGGAGTAGTGTTTTCGAGCAAAAAGAAAGAATTGTGAGATAAACTAGCACAAAATTTTTATTTTTTCCACGAGAATACATTTGGGATATACCCTTTCGCTACCTACGGGACACATATGTCCCAAAGACCACAAAAATGATACTGTTGGAATTAGTTCTGTTTAAATCTCCATAGAGCACTGTTCCAGTGGTAGTTTCATTACATTATATTATAGAGGTGAAAATCGCATGTCTACCCCCACTATATCGTATGTTTTTCACAATTGTGCTTAGTCATTGGCGCAATGTAAACATCCTCACGGCTGTGTTATTGTTTACGTGCGTAGTATTACACTTATATAGGTCAAATAGATTGTTGAATACAACTAATTTATATAGAGGTAAGAATAAATGTAACAGATACGTAACCTTTGCGAAAAAACACCTTGGGACTATTTGTCCCAGAGGTATTTTATAGCGTGACTTATTTATCCCAACGGTATTTTTTAACTATAACTTTTTTCAGAATGGTCAGAAAAAAAGCTTTTACTGACGATGAATTGCAAACATGTTTGGAAAATTCGGATGAGGAAGACCCATTTGCAACATCTGATGACTCTAGAGGATGAAAACTTCACACCGGACAGCGATAGCGCTTAATGTTCCGAAGAAATTCAAAGTTCTGAGGATTCAACCGACGACTCTGATGAGAAATCAGAAGATGCTGTGCCCGTTTCCAATGTGACTTCCTGGAAAGCTGTTTCAAATACATTTAGATCTAGATTTGATGTCGCAACACAGAGACCATGTGCTATTCTCAATCCGAAAATAAGCCGTCAATCGAATGAACTTAAGGTATTTTTGCAAGTTTTTTCACGTAGTTTTTTATAACATTTATTGCTCAATGTACTAATGCCCGATTGGAATTATTGAGAAAAGCCAATAAAAAAAAGAAATGTCTTTAAAACAGATACCGATGAAATTATGCTTTTATTAGGAACAATGCTTGTTATAACTTACAACAAAGTTTCTAACTTCTCTGACTATTTGTCAGAAAATGCATCCTTGGGAAATAAGGCCATGAAAACTGCAATTGCTCGGAATCACGCTCAACTACTCATTTTTAAGATGTATTTCAATTGTCCATAAAAAAGAGTTGATGCTCCCAAAACATACTAAATTGATGATGTGGTTTCTTGCCTCTTTTCTTCTGCTCTGGGAAAGATGCGATGCAGAAACGGGATATGTGTATGACCTCAATATATCCTTTGGAAGAGATAATCCTTGTCTCTTCCAGAAGGGTCACGACTACCTTGGGAGAAAAGGTTGTAATGTCACTGATCTCTACAATACTTGATCCACGAGCAAATGTAGCATTCGATCGCTTCTTCACAAGTGTTAGGCTGATGGAAAACGTTTCCTATCCCACTGTAGGAACTTGCATCGCTTCACGTAAATTTATGTCAAAGTTTAATGGAAAATTGCTGAAAAGTGATTCTCAATTCTTGTGTAATAATGTGGGCACATCAGCTATACGATGGCAAGATAGCAAAGATGTTTTATTGATCTCAAATTGTACGAATAACGATGTAAAGAACGTATCCCGAAATAAAAAATATGATGAAAAAAAGCAAGTACCATGCCTAGAACCAATCGTGCTCTATAATAAAATAATGGGACTCAAAGTCGATGGCATGTGTTGCCTTTCAGGATTTCAGGATGTCTTTAGCTGCTGAAGACAATGACCAGAGGGTTCTTTTCAGGGACATTTCAGGATTTCATGATGTCTTCATCTACTGAAGACAATGACCAGAAGGATCTTTTCAAGAACATTTCAGAATTTAAGGATGTCTTTATCTGCTGACAACAATTACAAGAAGGTCTTTATCAGGGAAATTTTCCTTAAAGATAAGAACCTTTAGAGGTCCTTGTTTATCTCTTAGATCTTTAATTTGAATATAAATTCGAAGGGTTGCCATTTTGGCCGAAGAAAATATCTATTCTAAATACCAACACTAAGGAATTTGTTCACAAGTCCATTCCACATCGACTCATTTGGTTTGAGGTTGCGAACCCATCTCACTTATACAACTCAAAATATACATGGGCTGGAATGGGAAAATGGGAATCAAGAAAAAGGAGAAGAAGAAACTCACCTTCCTTATTGGATGGATAATGGAGATTGCAGTTTTGATGATGATGATGACTATTTGGAATTTGGAAAAGTGTGTGAGTTTTTAAAATTTTATCTTACTTCTTCATTCTTTGAAACGGTGATGGTAAAGGGTGAACAGAAGAATAAATGGTTGAAAAAAATTATTTCAAATAATAGTGTAAATCTCACCATTGTGTAAAACATAATATAAATAATTTGGCATGTACTCAAGGAAATGTATATTTTGTATATTTTTGGAATCAAATTTGTAGTTAGTAAAATAGCTACTTTTAAAGAAGAGGCTTCTAAATTATTTGATATCGCAGCCTGTAAATGTGATTTTCAATTATGTAAATGCGAAAAATCAAAAAAAGTTCCTTTAAAGGAGCAATAATTTCTAACAGATCAGAGAAGTGTCAGAACTATGGCTATAGGAGCCATTGATGTGGTAGCTATGAAAAAAATGGTCAAGGCAGAAGAAAAAAAGCAAAGATAAAATTCAGATTAGTGAGACTAGAGGAGATGCCATCCTGTAGCTATTCCCATACTAATAAAAATCAGCCTAACTCTTCTAGCAGCGAAGATGAAAAAATGGAAGTTAGAGATAGAAGTGAAGATGAGTTGGAACCAACTTTGCAAGTTGGGTGTTCTAAAATTATTGTTAAAAAGTATTTGTAGGTAAACAACTATTTTTTTTAGCTGACAGGCCTGAATCGAAGGTTTCCACCCAAATGAGACTGAAACTGCCATCCGTGGCACTTGCCTGTGACGGAACTGGAGTTTCAGATCGTGCTGCTGCTATAATCGCAAATGCTGTTTTAGAGGATATTGGACTAAAAGCAATTCTATACAGGTAGTAGACAGAATGAAGATTAGGAGGGCTAGAATGTCTCAACGTAAAGTTTGTACGAGTGTATCAGGTGAGATGTCGTTATTAGGTTTGTTTTTTGATGGTCGAAATTACTCAACTATTATTTACGATAAGAATACAAAGAAGCGAAAACGCGTTGTTGAAGAACATATTTCTATTTTAAGTGAACCCGGTTCTAAGTATTTGGGCCATGTCACACCAAAAAGCGGAACCGCATGTCATATAAAACAGTCCTTGGTTAATTTTTTGAAAGATAAGTTTGACGTGACCGAACTTTCCGATTTAGTAGCAGTTGGGGCAGATGGAACTGTTGTGAATACGGGAGTGAAAAATGGCGTTATTCGTTTCTTGGAAAAAGAATTAAAACGTCCCTTACAATGGTTAATTTGTTTATTCCATTTAAATGAACTTCCTTTACGACATTTAATAAAACAACTAGATGGTGAAACTTCGGGTCGCGGTGGACACAAAGGTGTTATTGGACAGAAACTAGATAACTGCGAAACCCTAACTATTGTAAAATTTAGAAAAATAGAAAACTTCTGATTTGAGCACAGATCAATGCTACCTTTTAGAGATAGTTCAGTCAATTGAATCAGGTAACGTTTCTCCTTCTTTGGCTTCAAAAAATCCAGGAAAACTTTCTCACGCACGATGGCTTACGACAGCGAACAGAATTGCAAGACTTTATGTTGCAAGTGACCATAGCCCATAGCCTCAAAAAAATCTTAATCTTAATCTTAATAATAATTATGACAAGGAAGCCCATCAGACCTGTCTAACCACCAATAGTGGTCGCAACCCCCCTACTCCAAAACAATCACCCTCTTCCTCCCAATCATCAAACCCCTCGTCACAAAACACCCCAATAAATTTTTCACAATTTGAAAATATATATAACTCATTTGATACTCTTTCTCAAGGTGATAAACATAAATTATTGGAAGCATTACAAACAAACATTCAACTATCTGAATCTATATCTATATATCCCAGCACCCCCACGAGAAACCCCCTTACCAAAAAAAATAATTTGAACAATAACTGATGTCTTTCGAACTTGGTAAGGTAGAAAATCATGAAATAGAATTGCTAGATAAATTTAAAACAATTGATAGCGAAAGCTATAAAATATTTAAATTTAAACAACAAGCAATAATACAAACTGGTGGAGGCCCTTATACTTGGACTAATAAAGAATTATTATTACTCCGATTAAATTTACTCATGCAGAGAAATTGTTGGCCTAACAAACAATTGTTGGCCTAACAAACAAATATGATAATGATGCAGGTGTGTAAAACATTTTACAAAATAAATGATTTTTGTATAAAATTTTATTGCAGAACAAACATGTATAACTGATCAGAGGAATATAAGCCCTTGTATATTTATTTTGTTTAAAGCCTGGAATGCAAACTCGATCTTGGGCTCCTGTCTGTGGAACATCTTTTATTATCGGGTACTAAGAGTTAAGAGAGAAAATATAAAAAGATTGTGTTGAAGACATGACAATGAAAGGTAAAGGGTCATCCATTTCGTGCTTGAGAAAGTACACGCTGTACATACGAAAACTACCAACTGCGCATGTGCGTAAAACAGATATTTGTGTAGTTGAATAGTTGCCATTTTATAATATGGATCATTTAACCATCGCTCAGCGCTTAAAAATTGTTAAATTGTTCTACCAAAATGGTAATTCTGCCGTGGCCACATATCGTGCTTTACGACCAGATTATGGTCGTTCCCAACAAACGATTTTAAACATTGTAAATAAATTTGAACGGAATGGTTCGGTGACAGATATTATAAGACCAGTGCACCATCGGAATACACGTTCTCTTGAAAACATCGCTGCGGTTAGTGCAAGTGTGACTGAAAACCCAAGATTATCAATTACACGGCGCGCTCAGCAATTGGGTTTATCCTACGGGTCGGTATGGCGTATTTTGCATTTGGATTTGCATTTTCATCCGTACAAAGTCCAGCTCACACAAGAACTAAAGCCTACAGACCATGGACAGCGTCGAACATACGCCAATTGGGTACTGGAACAACAAGCACTAAATGAAGACTTTTCAAAGAAAATTTTCTTCAGCGATGAGGCCCATTTCTTGCTCGGTGGATACGTAAATAAACAAAACTGCCGTATCTGGGGCTCCGAAAATCCACAGGCAATTGTTGAAGTGCCGTTACATCCACAAAAAGTGACTGTCTGGTGTGCATTATGGTCTGGTGGTGTCATTGGACCATATTTTTTCGAAGATGATCAAGGAAGAACCGTTACCGTCAATTCCGAACGATATGGCCGTATGTTAACCGATTTTTTTTGGCATGAAATTGAAGATATGGACCTGGCCAATACGTGGTTCCAACAAGACGGGGCCACATGTCACACAACACGAAATAATCGGGCTTTGTTGCAAGATAAGTTTCCAGGACGAGTAATTTCGAGATTGGGTGATGTGAATTGGCCACCAAGATCTTGTGATCTAACGCCATTGGACTTTTTTTTGTGGGGCTATGCAAAAGATCGTGTTTATGCCAACAACCCTCTAACAATTGACGTGTTGAAAGATAATATCCGTCAAGTAATGGCCGAGATATTGCCTGAAATGTGCCAAAAAGTAATAGAAAATTACCTCAAAAGAATTGAGTCCTGCAGGAGATCCCGTGGAGGACATTTAAATGATATTTTGTTTCACAATTAATGCCATTAACCAGACTTTATAATGAAATAAAAATTTTATCGCAATCTAAATCTTTACTGTGTTTTTTGTTAATTTACTTTCTCAAGCTGAACTTGGATAACCCTTTACTATCAGCATTGACAAGTCTAATTGCATTGTATGCTTTAAGGGAACACAAACAAGGTTACCTTTTCCAAGTACAGGCACAAGAAGTACTGAAGTTTTGGAAATCATTTATAGTGACGTCTGTGGACCGATGGAAACTATGTCAATTGGTAAAGCAAGATTTTTTCTATTGTTCGTTAATGACTACAGCAGAACAGCAGCTAACATCTTGAGACATGTGGGGTGTCACAAACCCCATTTTGTTTTAGTAGTAAATTTTTGGTTGGATCTTTTTATGTTACTTTTTTGAAATAATATACAATATATTTAATAACTTTATCAAACAAATTAAAGCCTAAATAGTTAAGAAATTTCTAGAAAAAAAAATCTCAATTATTCCAGAACATGTTTTAGGCAAGAAAAAAAAGAGGTTTCACAAAAGCTTCTATTGCTTGGTAAAGAAACACATATTAAAGAATACATTAAAAAAAAATTATAACAAAACATTAAAAAACAAAAAAGTTATGCGTAATTGAAGTCGGCACAATGTTCATAATACATACGCGCATGTTCTAGGCATAAACATTTTCCGCAAAAATTTCTAAAATCATTCTCGGTTTCTGATAATCATTTATCAATTCATAGCCCAATTTTGTGAGGTAATCTCTTCTTTTCAAAATTATTCCACTATTATTTTTGCGATGGATGATCTGAGAATTGATGCCGGCAGTAATCATCATGGAAAAAAACAAGGTTAGTGGCCACCGCTTGCTATTACGAGATGCATTATACGTGGCTGACAATTCATCAACTGTATCTACCCCTCCTTTTGTTAGATTGTAGAATGAGATCATTTCAGGTAGCTTTTTTTCAGAATTATCCACCAAATCATCATGATGAAGGGTTGACATAAGTAGAACAACTTTTCCTTTTTTCGGAACGTATGAGACAATTGTGAAATTTTCTTGAAAACCAAAAAGGCTTGACTTTATTTCTCGACCTCTAACATTTAAAAATGTTAGGGGAATTTTCCGTTTATTTTTTCGAATTGTACCAACTGCAGTTAAGCCAAAATTAATAATTCTCAAATCAGGGTCGTAGTTGCCCAATTTGCAATAAAGATCATTTAATTTACCATTGTCTAAGTCTAGATTTCTTGAAATTAAAAAAATTGGTTTATGCCCTAATAATCATACTTCGACATACTGTAGATCGTAAACATTGCAACAAATATCACAATACCCCTATTATAACACATAGGCGAAAAAAACGAAGAGTAAATATAATGAAGTGGCCTTAAATATGTTAAGAATTCCTACCTTCTGTAGCGGTAATAAAGAATGGGATACGGAAGAAGAGGAAGATGGTGAATGCTCATATGTTTAATTTTTATTTTAATATTTAACAAATTATTGTATATTAAGTTTTAAATAAATCATTTGATTCTTAAGGTTTTTTTGTCTAATTAGTATTTTTGATGTCCTCTTTAAATCTATTATTATTTAAACAAAAATGTTTTTTGTTAAGTCATTCTTAAGAAAATTAATGGTTATGGTAAAAAATATAATATATATTATATGTAATATATTTATGCAAACTTTTCCTTGTAGCTGACTACATAAATAATTTCTAATTTTAGGTAGTGCTCAGACTGTCCAAAAAGAATTGGAAAATAAAGAACAAGGGGATTTGACGCAAATTTAACACGGCTGATGTATCAGTCTCTTCACAATAGAGCTACCTCAATATTTACTGCCCTATGAAACATCAAACTTATTTACTAGCATAGATTTTGAGTCTTATTTTAAACTCTTAAAAGAGCATGAACACATTCTTTTTAGCAATCAAAACCAGCCGATTCTAGCAAACTTAACAAACGTGGGAGAAGCAGCAAATGATCTTCCATGGCCAGAAGAAGATCCTTATGCAAGCGATCACGACAGCAATGATCCAGATGATGGAATTGACGAGAAAAATCTTGTTAATGATGAACTGGATGACATGGTCGAAATTAATGAGGACTCAATCGAAAAGAAGCAATGATTGTTGTGCGTTGCGGGCGTTGCAACGCTTTGGGTACATGCCGAATGCAGTGGGCAGGACCTTGAAGTGAAATTTTAATTTAACTTGTCAATTATGTTTTTGTTTTTAATATGTTTCTAGTTTACTTTTCTTAATTTTGAATATTTTGTAGTGCTTTTTCAATAAATACGATTATTACAGAATTATAAAAGCCGTAATAAAAAAATGCTATGCCATAGATATTAGAGTGGTGGCAACAGTTTCCGATTAAGAAACACATAACTGTGCAGCAATAAACCACTTAATGAGCACCACTCTTAATGGTGATAACAATGCACACAACATTAAATTTTTGTATGTAGAGAGAAAAAAAATTGTGCACATTTATGACCCTCCTCGCCTATTAAAGGGCATAAGAAATAATTTAATCACTAAGGATTTAATATGGAAGAAAAAAGATGAAGCATTGGTTGCTTCCTAAAAGGATATATATACCCTCTACAAAATGGACAACATGCCGGGGGAGATAAGAGCCATACCAAAAATTACAGAGCATCATGTAAATCCGGAAAAAAATTAAAAAATGAAGGTAGCTTATTTTTAGACACTCTGTAAAATGTAACTAATGTAAAATATTAATTAAATAAAAATTTCAGATTCTGTAACTCCTGAAGGAATTAAACTTTGAAAGTCTGCCATATGAACAGCAGCAGTTTTAAAGTTTTTTGACCAGGTTGTCGACATTGTCAATGGGACAATTAAAGTGCTGCATTACAAATAACTTGGAGCATTCCAAATTTTTGGTCGGAAGCTAGAAGCCAGCTACAATCAATGTACTTTGTTACAAATGGTGCCAAAGCAAATGTACCCTCATTAAAAAATTGGATGTATGCACTTAATGGCATCGAGGAGGTTTTTAAACTCTTGTCAGGAGAATGTAATGTCAAGGAATTAAAACCCCGAAGTCTGAACCAAGATCCTATCGAACATTTTTTGGGCAGATGAGGCAGCAAGGATCTCGTAATATAAATCCAACAGCGAGCCTCTTCCAAAGCCATTTTAAAACGCTGTTAATTAATACCTTAACAAAGCGACATTCTTCATCCGAAAATTGCGAAGGGGATTCTTCACAAATAATTTCGAGTGTGCAAAATTTATTGGTCCAGAATGTTCCTGAAGAAATGGCTTTGGAAGATTTGATCCTTTTAGAAGGGAACCACAGCCTCCTAAATAAAATGAAGGTCATGCCAGTTGCTTATGTATGTCTGTGGTTGGCTTTGCAAATATTTAAAATAACTTGCTTAAATGTAATATTTGCAAAGCCAAAATAATATGTTATAAACCATTACAGGACTGCCATGATCTCATTTTATCGAAGGAGTTTAATATTAAATGTAAAAAATTAACTTACTTTAACCCACCTTTATTGAAGCATTATGTGACACATCCCAAATTTAAAAAAAAATATCCCTCACATAAATTCAAAAAAAATGTTCTTTGATCTTTTAAATTTTAAATTAAATGATTTAATTAAAATAAATTTAAAACAAGAATGTGAGCACTCAGCTGAGTTGAAAAATAATTTTGTAAAAATCTTTTCTTTGCTTTATTGCCACAACTGGGCAGCTTCCATAAATAAAATCTTAAATGGAAAAGATCTAAGAATTTTTAATTTGTCAAGATAAAGTGATGGAGGCTGCTAAGAGACCCAAAAATGAAAAAAAAATGTTTATATTTTATGATTTTGTTTTATATTTATGTTATGAATTATTTGTATACTTTTTTATTCTAGAAAATATGGTGTAAATAAATTTGTTAATATTTTTTTTATAATTTGTATATGTTATTAATTATTTTTTATTCCAATTTTGGATACTTTAAAACAACTTCTTTTAAAGAATAGTATTATAATTAATTATATTGACACAAAAATTTAAATTCTGTACAACATCTGCGATGAAAGTTATGATAAAAATATTTACAAAAAAATTAATAAAAGGTATATATTACAAATTCAAATATACTTTGATGAATTTGAGACTACAAACTCACTTGGATCAAAGACAGGCATTCATAAAATGGGTGGTATTTACAAATGTTCCTCATCATCTAAATTCATGTTTAAAAAGTATTTTTTTGCTTGCTATGGTTTACTCTGCTGACATGAAACAGTTCGAACTTTTAAAAAAGATCGAATTTTTTTTTGAAACTTTACCGGAAAAAGTATATGGAACCCCTTTTTCCCCTTCACATGACAACTTGGGAGCAAATTTATTACATGGAATGGTTCAATCATTTTCTACTACTAATTTTTGTCGAATCTGTCTCATAAATAAAGTTTAGACTAATTTCTTAAAAAATGATAATTTACTAAGAAATAGCACTTTGCAAAGAAAGTACTATTAGCGGCAACTTAGTGTATGTCCTAAAACATAGTCATATTTAATGACAATATTTTCAGTTATGTGATTCACCATCAGTAGATATAAAGGCCGTATTACAGCCGGCAATTCTTTCGGCAATTGCAATGAAACTTGCCATAGGCATGCGCGGTTGAGACCTTTCGACGAATCTCTTGCAATTGCCGAAAATCGGTCCGGATGGATTTTTATTGCCGTTTTATGGCAATTCTGGGGTGAAATCTGGTAACTTTTATGTTACCAACCCTACTACAAATTCCCTAGATAGACTCTTCTTGACAGTATAAGGTTGTTCGCTTGTTTTGTTTTGTCGTTATTTGTTTATGATTGGCATTGTGTTCAAAGTTTTGTGTTTTTTAATCATTAATAATCTGTGGTTAGTTAAATATGGCGTGTAGCAAGAGGTAGGTTTAAATTTATTACATTATAATAAATATTACGAATCTAATAAATTAACCTCTTTCAGTAGTTATGACTGGAACAGGACACCACCCTACTTATACAATTGTATGAGCAGTATCCATGTCTGTATTTAACAACTTATAAAGGGTACCATGACAGAAACCAGAGAAGTAAGGCTTTTCAAGCAATAGCTGAAGAATTTAACAAAAAAAAACTCTCATCAAATGAGTTAACAGGTGAAATTATTAAAAAGAAAATCCATGGTATAAGAACCCAGTTTTTGTCTGAAATTTCAAAAATAAAAAAAAGTGAGGTATCAGGGGCTTCGCATGACGATGTATATACACCCAAATTATGGTGTTTCGACCAGTTAGTTTTTTTGCAGCAGGGATCGGAGGTGGTCAGCAGTGGAGAGTCGAATTTAATGCTTCCTTCAAATATATGCACTACATCAATACTTGAAGATGAGGTGAGTGTGAAATTTAATTTATGGCGTACAAATTACAAATAATTACAATAACTTTGGTTTATTTTAGCTCGATTCTGAAATAATATACGAGGGAGATGTGGAAGATTTGAGGGATAATGTTTTTTCACCGACAGATGTTTTGCCTCAACCCTTAGCTTCAGGATCCAGTTCCCAAAGTTCCTTTACTCCACAAACTGGTCGGGGCAAAAAAAGGAAACAATCCAGGGAAACAGAAGAACAACTGTCAGGACTATTTTCGACTGCTGTATCAGCATTGGAAGGGCTAAACAAGGCTGAAACAACTGGCCTAAAACATTTGGCTTTTGCAAGGTATATTACTTCTTGACATACTGACTAATTCAAGAGTTATTGTAACTTTTGCATATTCATTTATTTTATTTGTAATTTATTTCAGAAATGTGGCAGAAGAAATGGAGAAAATTGATGATGAAGGCCTTTTGGATGATTTAAAGGAGTCAATCATGATGGCAATTTTTACTACAAAAAGAAAGTGTAGAGACAGGCAAAATTAGTAATAAATATAATTTTATATAAATATATTTTTATAATTTCATTGCCTACATTTATTTATAACATATCCTACAAAATGAAAGTGAAGGGGAAAATAAAATAGATAATAAGACATTTTTAAAATAATTTACAATACATCGTCAAGTTGTTACAAAGGGGCAAATCTCATATTTTAATTATTAACCTTTGCTTAAAAATTGGACATCTTAATCATAATATAATTATTTGATATATTATGATTTTGATGTCTGATTTTAAAGCAAAAGTTTAATATTTTATAGGATAATAAATATTTTTTCTTCAAAATATTAAACCATTGCTTTAAAATCAGACATAATCATAATAATATTATATTATAATAATATATTAGGTATACTTACTATAATTTGGAGTCTAATTTTAAAATAAATGATAAAATAAAAAAAAAATAACTAGGTATTAAAATATTGAATGGTAAAATATGAGATACCCTGTTGTAATAATTGGGTTGAAATATATTTTTATTATTAAATTAATGTATACATAATAATATATTATATCCTAACTAAATTAAATCATCCTGCCAAGGAACACTACCACACCCATTAAAATATTCTTTAAATTCTTCCCTTATAGCAAGGGCTTCATTTCTAGGCCTACCACTATTTTGCCTACTTAAGCCAAAAATAAACCTATATCTTTTATCAATCTCCTCTTCGGGATGTTGTCCTAAATATAAAGTTTTATTTTCTGTGGTCAAAAAATTATGAAGTACGCAGCATGTTTGGGTTATTACTTTTGCCTTTATAGGTTTTAATGGAATTGTATTCAATAAAACTCTGAAACGGTTAGCCAATATCCCAAAAGAGTTTTCAACCACACGACGAGCTCGACTTAGCCTGTAATTGAAAATTCTTTGCTCTCTTATCATGTTCTTTAAAGGATATGGTTTTAAAATATAGGTAGAGAGACCAAAAGCAGCATCAGTTAGTATGACATGTGGTACTGATTTTACTCTTCCTGGTAGTGGTTTGTTTTCAGGTACATTTAATTTATTTGTCTCGAGAGCTTTTGCTAAATCACTGTTCCAAAAGACCCCACCATCAGACACTCTTCCATTCATTCCAACATTTATGTAGCTAAATTTATAGGTTGCATCCACAAGCGCTAGTAAAACTATGCTATGCGTTTTTTTATAGTTGAAAAAAGCAGAGCCTTGA